GTTTGGGGTAAGATAAAATCCTAGCCCAAACTCAGCTCCTTATTCATAGCAATTTATTTAGGAAACAGACCTGCAAGGTCATGAGTTAGCAGACTGGCACTTAAAAACTGAGCTTTGGCTTGGGCAGAAGCCTGCCCAGACTTCTTTAGGACAGTCCTCTGGTGGCAGTGATGTGTGGTTTTGGGTGACCCAAGTAGGATTTTTCCCCATAATCCCAGCACAAACTCATCTTTTTATTTAGGGCAATGTATATTGCACACAAATCTGGGTGAGGTGGAGGGGAAGGCTGCTAGTTTGCAGGCTGTCACACGAAAACTGTGCTTTGCCTTGGGCAGTGCCCTACCCTGGCTGCTTCTAGAGGGTCCCCTGGTGGCAGACATGTGTAGTTTGGGGTGACTCGAAAAAGATTTTTCCTGATAATCGCAGCTGAAACTCAGTTCCTTATTTGGTGCAATGCATGTAGCGCACAGGCCTGTGGGGCCATGAAATGACAGGCTGGCGCTCAAAAGTTGAGCTTTGGGGTGGGCAAGGGCCTGCCCAGATTTTTTCAGGAGAGTTTTTGGTGGCAGAGAGGTGTGGATTGGGATGGCCCAAAAGGATTTTGCCCCGTAATCCCATCCTAAATTTAGCTCCTTTTTCATGGCAATGAATTTAGCGCACAGGCCTGGGGGGCTGTCAGCTGGCAGACTGGCACACACAAAACATTCTCCGGATCAAGCAGTGTTCTGCCCAGTCTTCTTCAGGAGAGTCCCTGGTTGGTGGTGGCATGTGTTTTGCGGTAACCTGAAGCAGATTTTGTTTGGTAATCCTAGCCTTATAACTCAGTTCCTTATTCAAGGCAATGTACTTGACACATGATATTACAGTATAATACATTTTTATTAGTCTATATACATTTTTTATGACATTCTAACTCTGTAGCATGTCTAATTGATTACTCACAATGTTTAATAAGATCTTAATTGTGTAAAGACTGAGAGTAATGAATTAGAAATGAATTAGATAATTGTGTTAAGATTACTTCTGAAAAAGGAACCAGGAATAAGGAATCAATTTCAGCCTTATGATGCATTTACCCATACAATACTCCTCTGCATCGGGGGGTACTACTGTAGCATTATCCTCATTTTACACATAGGAAACTGAGGCACAGAGAAACTAAGTAAATTGCCCAAGATCACACAGGTCTCACGTGTCAGACTAGCACCCAAAGTACTTGACCATCCTTCCACTCAATCAGGCTACAAGCGCCCCACATTAAACACCTGAATTATGATGCACTCCAAAAAAAGCTCTTTTCAAAATTTTGCTGCTGAATGCATTAAATCATTTGCAATCCATCTTAAGATCCATAATCAGTGAGTTCAACACATGCATTTGTTTCAATATATGGGACAGCTACAAATTTAAAAAAAAAGTATCCCTAAAAATCCCAGAAAACTGAAAGCAGAACAGCACTTTCAATTTCACTATACCACTCTGTAATAAACTCAAATTCCATAAGCTCAGACAGAAGTGACAATTTTTGCCCAATCTGGCCACAGAAAGCAGTTTATAGCTGTGACCAAGCACAAGTGCATGCCTGCAAACAGTTTAAAAAATGGCCAATTGTGTGAAAATCTGACCCTTCAATGCATGAGGGTTTAGATGAAGATGTTTCAATACAGAGCATCTTCTGTAACTTCTGTCTGAGCTGCCTGCCAGACTCTCACTGTTTTCAGAATGGGAGCCGGGAAACGGGGCGGAGGGAATTCATTCTGGGGGTTTTCAACCCCTGCTGGAAGATGGGGGGGGTATATTGGAGCCCCCCTGCGGTGGAGGGGCTCCAATTCACCCACCCCACTCTCCAGAGCCAGCTGGGGAACTCCTCTGCTCCTTCCCCCCCACCCCCTTCTGAAACAGGGACAGGGTGGAAGAGGAGGGGCCATTGCTAGGGGAAACTGGCTGCAAGCTCCCAGCCAGCAGCTAGATTCCCGTACCCCCTGGAACCAACAATGAACTTCTGTTTGGTCCTGGGGGTGGGAAAGGGGACATTGCAACTCAGAACGCTTCCTGCAAAGCATTCCCAGAAACACTGGGGAGCTGCATTTCTCTCTGCAACCTCTGAGATGAAACTTCTTTCTCTTACGGTGTCAGTATTCTGCAAACAGACAGATGACATATTGCCATTTCCCCCTGCTCATCTGTTTTCAACCATATACTCCCAATTTATTGTCTATTTCCTCATTCACTCGACTACTGTCCTTGTCCCATAAATCCCCTTTTTGGTCTTTATTCTTCCTCACAGTTCTAGGTTCTGGCTATTATTTATTGCCCCTCATTTTTTACTATATTTTCATCCTTCTGGGATTTCTGTTCTTTCTTCCTTCCATTTTGCTTTGTCTATTGTCCTCCACTCATCTCTCTTTTCTTTATGGTATTAGCTCCTAGGTAGCTGCTTATTTAGCATTTTCCAAGAGGCTGGTTGAGACTACATGATGGAGAAGGAACCCTGACAATCATCATTACATTATGCAAAAAAGTCTCGCAAAAAACAAACAAACAAACAAAAAAAGATGTTTTGGAAGGAAAACAGCCCCAGCAACATTATTAATCTTTTCTTCTAAATCTTAGCCTACGAACACTAATTATTTATTGTGGTACACTGAGTGACATTTACACGTTGGGGCTCCATGCAAACAGTAAGTAAAAAGGTGGTCCAGAAGAACTTAAAATATCCTTCCAGAATCCCCCCTTCCACAGCCATGGAGAGGTGAACCTGTAGGCCAGGGTGGGCAAAACACAGCCTGTGGGCTGGATCCAACCTGCTAGGCCATTCTATCTGGCCCATGGGGCCCCTAAACTTTTAGAAAATTAATATTTATCTGACCCTGGCTGCCTGTCAAAGATGATAGGAGCCAGGGGCACTAGGACCCAGGGGAAGCCACTGGCAGGACCAAGGCTGCAGAAGCAAGGCCTGCCCAGCTCTGCCCCTCCCCCCCAGCCAGAAGCCAAGTGTGGATCATAGCTTTCTGGCCTGGACCCCTGGTGGTATTTCTGCTTCCCTGTGCCAGAAGGAAATTCAGATAAGAAAGTGGAGAGACAGGGGAGAACTGCAGGTGATCGCCCCAGTCCTCAGGGTCAGGGTGGGCTGGACCAGTTGCTGTGGTTCCAGTGCTGCAGCTGGGAATCACATGGTGCTAGAGTGGCCGGCAGGGGGGTGGAGAGGAGCAGCAGCAGCCACAGGCAGGGAAGCGCTGAAAGTGGCGGCTGGTGGGGGGGAAGGGGCAGTAAGCCAGCGCACAGAACACAGTGACAGATGGGTGGGAGTGTAGGGCCTGTGCTGGTGCACCAGAGGGAAGGCCAGCAGGGGCCCAGAGTGGGGTGATAGGGGTGCAAGCCCAGGCTGGCAGGGGCTCTGGAGCTGGGTTGTCTCCCCCTCTCCCTGCTGGCGCAGCTCAGCCCGGCTCCACAGAGCCCTTTCTGGCCTGCACTCCTGCTGCCCCACTCTGGGCCAAAATTCTGTATCAACATCAACTTTATTTATAACCTTAATCTAAAGATTTATTATTCCATTCTCACACATCATGTGGTTCAGAGATAACATTCTTCTGTGAACTTTAACTCTGAATGCCCTGACATTTTTTAAATTCATGTTATCATATTTTTATCATATTCACCCCTATTATTTAACAAGGTTTATTGTGATAAAGCTGGATATGTACATTATTAGTAGGCTGAAAGTGTGCATCACATTCCATATTTTCATTTTCTCTTTTGTGGTTGCATGTACAAGTTTCTTGAATATGGTGGTTTAGTTGACTTAAAGTACATGCCATTGTTTGATGAAGATTATTGATTGCCCTAGTTATTTTCCTGCCAAGATATCCATTCTATGCTATTGAATGAAAAAATCTGGATTGTTCCCTTTTCCCCTGAGGGCTATTTTGCATACACCTTAGGGGTCCTAAGGAAGAGCAACAAAAAAGATAATTAACTCACATTGGAATTAGAAAAAGGAGAAGAAGAGTAATTCCTCATTGCCAAGCAGATGTCAAAGGTACTATTATTGCCTTTTATCAGCTAGTGCAATTTCCCAGCATTTACCACTATGTTGTGTCTTGCTTGCTTTTTCCTTACTCCACAGTGAATCGTTTTGTTTTTGTCTTCTCTAAGCAGCTCTGAGGTGTATCCAGCACCAATCTCAGAGTGATCTTATCTTCATAACCTTAGCCTATGAACACTTAAGTATATATTGTGGTAAAGTGATATATACAGGTTTGGGCTTTGGCCCCCTTGTAAGCATGTAAGCAGAGAGACAGTCCCTATGCAGAAGAACCTAAATCATTTAAATATTTATTAATCCAGTTACACACTTCATTGGGAGACAGAGCTGCTGCTGCTCTGAGAACTTTAGCTCTAAATGTGCTGACATTTTGTGATTCATATTTAGTTTAAGTCTCTATTATGCTATCAGTTTCATTACGCTATGCTGACTGAGTAAGATGTCATGTTCAGCATTAATTAAAATGCATTAACTAGCATGAGGAAGGGTGGAGGAATAACAATGTCAAGGCCCATGGAAATGCTACAACCACACTACATCAATACTATTGGTTTAGTTTACAATTCTGTCCATCCCTTCACAGCACAACCTGTTACATCTTTCACTAAGCTTCTCACACCCCCATGGATCCTTGGGTATCTCACCTACCTGGCAGTCCTCTCTCACAGCAGTAGTAGTCATGACAGGTATATCATCATGCAGTCTCTCCTTTGAGCAGTAGTGATCACTGATCATCAAGTCAGTGGCTACAGAATTGGATATGGGTGCTCTTATTGGAAAAGCTTAAGTGCTAAATATTATGTTCATTTTTTCATAAGGAAAAAGTTTTAAAATATATATTAATGTTTTCCATGAAGGATTGTGTGTTAATATTCATTTGATAACATTCATAATTGGACTTTGCTTACTGGAGGATTTACAAGAGCAAAAATAAAAAACACTTTGCTGCCAATAGCTGGTCAAAGGTTTCAATTTATGATAACCACTTCCTTAAATACAAAGTCACTCCGCAGATCTGTCTCCACATCATGCAACATGGGTTTGTTGTTTGTGTCTGCACTGCTGTCTTGGGTTCTTCTTCAGGTTGTCCATAGCCTGGTAAGAAAGCAAAGAACATATTTTTAACGTCTTGAATATGGGTCACAATGAGCTTGTGATGAAAATATATGTTCCTTTGTACAATTCCTGCAGAAGCATACTTCTTTCCTGCTCTTAAGGACATTGGAGAGGAATATAAAAATTTTGGTTTTCAGGAGAGGTCTCTCAGTGGTACTTCTTATATATAATCAGTTCAGATGTACACTGAACTGCACCTTGCACGTCTTACTCAGGCAAAACTCCCCATTGATATTTCACAGAAAATTTGCCTGACCAAAGCTGAACACCGTGGTAAGTAGTAAAACCTACTAAGTTATTTGGAAGAGTGTCATCACGCACTTAGTTTTGTACAATTAATATATTCTGAAATGAATGCCTTCTTAGCCAGGTTGGTTATGTCTTATTGTTCAAATAAGTCAGCTGCTTTTCCCAATCTATAGTTAGCTATTTTCTGATAACCTGCAACAATAGTAACTCTGAAAGTATATATTGCTTTCTATTTCTTCATAGAAATCCAATATTCTCAGAAGCAGGATAATAAAACCCATTTTAGTTGCCAAGAATTTGGAAGAAACTATGTTATTAAGGATCTGTGGGTCTGAAAAACTTTTTGGAGGCTGAAGTTGATTATATTCATATTACTGTGCCTTTATTCATTATCATTGTGGCAACTCACAGAGTAAGATAGAACTTAACACACAATAAGGTGGCAGAATCTGGTCTGGTTTCATTTATATAAAAATATTCACAAGCATTGTGATGTTTATCACAGTTCTGGTCAATAAACAAAACCCACTGTATTGCTAACATTCAGAAAAAAAGGAAGCCTTCTATTTAGGTTTAAACATAGTAACTAAGTGAACCAACTGGATTTCTCATTTGTGTGTCTTAATCAGTATCACCTACCACATCAGGTAACTATTCTTAATTACAAACTTGTTATAAGTTTACAAGATTGTTGATATTCCCAAAATTTTAGGGACTGGATTACAGTAAAATGGGTCTGCTGTGATTTTGGCTTTTGGGGCTGTGGACATCTGAGGCCAGATCTGGTAGTTGCTGTTTGCAGCAGTCAGACAAGGTTCTTTGGGTAAATCTGATATCTTTTGTTAGACCAACTAAAATAGTTGGAAAAATTCTTCTTTGCAAGCTTTTGGGAACAAACACCCTTCTTCAGGCATCTGCAGTTGATCTGTGCTCTTCCTGGATGAGATAGAATAGAATACAGTAATGATAACTGTGGCAAAAACATTGCGAGACTCAGGATTTCTAAGTCAAAATAACTGGCTTATGATCTCCCAATGGAACCCTCATATCTCCAGATTTTCCCAGCTGGAAGGCTGTGGAGGGGAAGGGGCAGGGGGAGAAGGAAGGGGTAGGGGAGGGGGGGTGGGGCAGGAGCAGGGGCTGGGGTGAATTGGGCCCTGGCAGGTCACCCAGAGGTGCAGGGGTGAGAGGTGTGGCTCTCCACAGCTGCGTGCACCCCTGGGGGAGGCATGGCGGGGCGTATGCCCCCTGTGGGGCAGAGGCAGGCTGGCTGTGTGGTGCGTCCCCTGCCCACCTGGGGGCAGGAAGCACACTGGCATAACACTGCTGAGCTCCTGGGCAAAGACAGCAGGACGCAGAGACAAGTCACCCCAGCCCAGTGGCCCCATTCACCCCAGCCTCTGCTCCTGCCCTACTCCCTCCCTCATAGTGGGGGCCTCGATCTCC